GAAGATGCAGTCACTGTTATGAATAATAGTTTGCCATTTACGATGGGAATAGAGCATGTGTTGAATGTACAGTGGGATATGTTTCTTAATTTTTATTGCAAAATTAAGCAGTCAGTGTATAACTAAATAAAAGTATAGTCAAATGAGTACCTTGAGCATTCAGAAAATTGATTTTAATAAAGGTAGAGGAAGATTTCACAGCTAGGTTATCTGTCAGAGACAGGAGACCAAGATGGGTGGGACTGCATGAAAAGGAATTCTGCAGGCACCATCACAAATAATACCAGTGACAAAGAAAAAGACACCAATGTGGCTTCATGAAAAGTTAAGTGATAAGCATAAAATAAGCATAAAATTAAACAAGGTATGTATACAAAACAGAAAGCTAAGCTAAACTAAAATTAAAAGGGCTTTTTTCAAGTATGTTCTGAGCAAGCAGGAGAAAGCAGTAGTCCTGTTACACAGTAAAGATGCTGAGATGACAAAGGGAAACTAGAAGTGGGTAGCTCCTATTTGGTGGTCTTCACCTTCTCCCCAAAGGGAAACTATGTACAATTATCTGAACTTTGATGAGCTATAGCTGGTCTGTAGTTTTGCAGTTTTAAAGGAGATTACGACAGAGCCTGCTTTGGCGGGGAGGGCAGGATTAAAATCAAATAAATAAATAAATAAATAAAATTTTAGGTTTTTTTTTCACTCTCCCTGGACTGTATCGTGCTTCTCCGGCTGCTGGATTTTAGCCTTGAGAGCCTACAGCCAAGGAACCAGGAGGTATTTGTTGTACAAACTGGGGAAGATATTGCTGAAGCTATATGACCTAACTGAAGCATTGATATTGGGCTGGGCTGGGAGACTTTTGCTGTTCCTTCCTCCCCCCCCCCTCCCTTCTTTTTTTCTTTTTCCAATTTGCTCCACAGGGAGCTTGTGTTTTGGCTTCTAGTAATGGGTGTTTGCAAAAGATCTCCTGACGCAGACTTTCCCCCACCAGTATGCGAACACACTAAAACTGATTATTTTCTTGCTTTGAGCTCACCTTTATCAGCCTTTGTTATTACAACTTCTAACTACTTTACTCCCCTCGTAAATCTTGATGAGGACGCTAATTGTGAAGATGAGAGGGGAGCCATACCATTTCAGCAGCCAAAAGCTGGGAAAGATTCTGAACCTGCCAGCTACAGAATTGCCAACAATATGCGAAGTGATTTTATGCACTAGGAATGAAGTGCTTTCATAATTTCCTGATAGCACAAAGTGTGGTGCAGATCTTTGGTAGAAATAAGTAACTTTTCAAAGAGTTGTGATTATTAAGATTTCTGTTTTGTTCTGATGTTTTCTGCACGAACAGGTCTCCCCACTCCTGCATTTGTATTCCTCCGCCACTTTCGCTCATTTCCCCACAGATGTTTGTAGTCCAAGAAGCAAAAACAGTTTGCCCCCTCTTGTGGCGCAGCAAGGGAATTCCTGGAACCAGGGAAGTCTGATGCTGCACGGCAAGAGAGGACAAATTGTGTTTTTGCATCTTGGACTACAAAAACCTCTGCTGAAATGAGTGAAAGAGGCAAAGGAATACAAATGCAGGAGTGGGGAGACCCGTTTGTGTAGAAAATGTCTCTGTTTAGTGTGCTTGTATTTTGGCTGGAAAGAAAAATGTTGCTTGATTGCTCAAGTGTGCTGCTGTAGCACAAAGTGAATGTAAATAAGGTTAAATGTCGAAGATTAGGTAGCATATATCTTTCTGGATTGTGGCTGTTATTGATACAAAGAAGTATTTTTATCCTGTGTCTCCTGATCATGTCAAAAATTCACTATTAGGACTTTACAGGGTGTGAAAACTGTTAAAGAAATCAATGTTTAGAGAATTCAAACATGAATAGCAAAAAAGGAGCTGAATTGCAGATGTACACTTGTGTGGGAATGGAGAAATATTTCAGTAATATGATCATTTTACTTTTTTATTTCTTGTCAACCTGTTATTTTTTTCTAGCAGGCAGCCAGTATATCTAGTTAGGTAACTAGACATTCTCTAGGTGGATAATAGTGTTACAGGTTTGGGTTTTAATCACAAAAAGAAAGGTAATGTTTCTTAAAGATTGTTAATATCTCTTTAATGGGCCTAAATGGCTCTGGTCAAGCAGCCATCAGGCTTTGAAGGAGGTGACACCTCTCTTGACTGAATAAAGAGTGCAAGTGTGTTCTGCGTGAGAAGGAAGCACACTTTGAGATGCTAGGAGAAACAAAAAGAGAAGTAGAGCGTTACTGATGTGAGCTGGCTGAAACATAGGTTTGCCAGCCCCCCCCCAGTGGAAGTGAGGGTCCCCCACCACCAGGCCCCCGTACTGATCAGATGGTCGGCGGGGTGACTTACCAGGAGAAAAAGGAAGACCCAGGATACATCACTAGCATTGTACAGGAAGCGATGTCATCACACCACTGATGTCCAGGCGACACTCTGGTCTTTGGGCAAAAACTCTATGGTAGAAGCCGGTTTTACCATAGAATTTTTGTGCAAAGACCAGAGTGTCACAGTAATGTTGCAGTGTGATGGTGTCACTTCCTATGTGATACCAGTGACCAGGGGTCATTTTGTAGAAAAAGAGGTGCAGGAGCTCATTAGCATAACTTATTAGTATAACTTACTTGCATATGCCACACCCCCTGACATCACCAGAAGTGTGTCAGAAAGTGGGAGAGCTTGTACCTGAATAAGCCTTGGTCTTAAAGGTGCCACTGGACTCTGTGCATTCCTACCTAAGGGGGGGGATCATGGAGATCTGCCCTCACAGAGAGCTTCTACCTGAATAAGCCTTGGTCCTGAAGGTGCCACTGGACTCTGTGCATTCCTACCTATGGGGGGGGGTCATGCAGATCTGCCCTCACAGAGAGCTTTTACCTGACTAAGCCTTGGTCTTAAAAGTGCCACTGGACTCTGTGCATTCCTACCTATGGGGGGGGGATCATGCAGATTTGCCCTCACAGAGAGCTTTTACCTGACTAAGCCTTGGTCTTAAAAGTGCCACTAGACTCTGTGCATTGCTTTAGCGCGTGCCTGGCAAGACGGGGGGGTCAGGAAGGGCTTTCCAGGGCCTGGAAAGGCTGGGGGGCAATGTTCCCTCTAAGCTGTGGAGTCCCGTGAGCCAAAATTCGACTTTGTGAGCTACTGGCATTAAAGTTGTGAGCGAGTGATTTGGCTACTGCATAAATTTATTTGCTCTGAAGCCATCCTTCCTGAGCGGAGACAAAAATGTTTGAGTCGGAGGCTAAAAAACTGTGAGCTAGCTCACATTAACTCAGCTTAGAGGGAACACTGCTGGGGGGGATATCCACAATTTACCTTACTTCATCTTTCTCCTCCCGGCCGACTGAGGGGAGGGCTGCTGGGGCTTGCTACATGTCCCCACCCCCTGGCCTCCTCTCTGCCGGAGCCGAAACGAGGCCTGCCAGTGACGTGGCCTGGGCCTTCCTCTTTCTCCTGGTAAGTCTCCCCCCATCCTCTGCCAGTTGCCAGGAGGGACCTGGCAACCCTACTGAAACTACTGGAAAGAGGTGCCAGATCTCTCAGGATCAAATGTGGAGTAGCATATCTGCTGACAAGTAAGAAGCTCTCTATGCTTCCCCCTGTGATCTACATTTGTAAATAATGTGAATACTACACAAATGCTGTAAGTCTCCAGTACTCTATGTCTTCCACAGGGAAGCAATGTGGGTAGAGCATTGCTGCCTGAATTTCTCACTCATCAGGGAAGTAGAATGCATGTAACAATATCTTTATTTCAGCAAAGCATTTGACAAAGTCTCCCATTATATTTTGGTTCAAAAGCTAATTAACTGTGGGTAAAATGACAGTACCTTCAGGTGGGTTCACAGCTGGCTAAAGAACTATACTCATGGAGTACTTATCAGTGGTACTTAATCAATCTGGAGGGAGATTTTGAGTGTGATGCTGGAAGGTTCCCTCCTGGGCCCAATACATTTTTCTGTACTGTCCTTACTAGCACTTTATGATGGTATGTAGGTTGCTTTTGTGTATTTTATTGTATTTATTGTTTTATTGCATGTTAATGTCTGTCCGCCGCCTTGAGCCAGTTCGCCCGGCAAGGTGGGATACAAATTGAAATAATAAATAAATAAATATTTTAATCAATGATGGGATGAAGAGGTGGAGGGAATCCTTATCACATGCAAGGATGGGGGGGAGTAGAATAGATAGCTAATAATTTAGAAAACTAAATTCAAAATGATCACAATAGGTTGGAAAGCTGGACTAACAAAATGGAATTGTAAAAATAATCAAATGCAGAGATGTAGGAAGGGAGTAGTACTTGGCAGTATTACAGTTGATCACAATCTGAACATGAGTCAGCAGCTTGAGGTTGCTGCAACAAGTTTTGGGCTGCATTAATAGAAGTATAGTATGAGAAGTAATAGTCGCACTCTATCCTACACTAGACAGATCTCACACAGAATACTGAGTTCAGTTTAAACCACTGCACTTTACGAAAGATGTAGGCAGACTGAAGCAGGCAACAAAGACTGAAAACAAGTCCTAAAAGGAAAGGCTGAAGGGACTGGGTATGTTTAGCCTGGAGAACAGAAGTGTAAGGGCAAGTATGGTCATGTTAATCAAATACCTAAAGATGGGAAAAGGCAAAGACTTATTCTCTGCCATTGCAGAAGGCAAGACTAGATCTAATGGCTTCACATTACAGGAGGGCAAATTTCAGTTGAACATTAGGGGAATTTTCTAACAGTGAGAGCTGTTCAACAATAGAACCAAATTCAATAGAACCAATTTTTTTTGGGGGGGGGCTTTCCCTTGCAGTCTTCCATTTGCAGTTGTCAGAGAAGCTCTATGTTTCCTGAGTTGACCAGGGGGTCGCACTGGATAGCTTATAAGGCTTCCAGCTCATTGATTCCATATTTGTCTTTGCTGGGTCCAGTTAAACTGAAATGGCAATTTGCAGTTAATCAACTATACCAGCATCTATTCTTTTTCACTTTAGGCAATGCTGGGACGTGGCAATGGAGAGTCCTCACGAAAGAAGGAGGAAGAGGAAGTTCACAGCAGGCATAGATTGATCCCCTTTGGACGGAAGATCTATGAATTCTACAATGCACCAATTGTTAAATTTTGGTTCTACACTGTAAGGGGGAACTATTATTTTGTCATTTGTTTAGTGGCAAAACTTTGCATATGCCCCTTCATTCATATGTTTACATTGATAAGGCCATGCAGTGTTTGAATGTCTAACTATGCACAAGTTGATGATTGTAGGTGGTTTGCAGAAGAATTTGAGCCCCTCTGTATGTTACTGGGTAGTAACTAGGAACTAGTGGGATGTTTACTCCAGTTCCTGCCAACATAATGGGAGGGAATAAAAGGGTAGCTCAACAAACTGGCTTCCCTGTTTGTAACTCTTAGTGAAAAATCAGCTCCGATATTTGCACTCCATAAGCACTCTGACAGACCTCCGAGTCAAATTACCTGTTAACTATCACTTCAGTGGACTGCAGGTGTACATGATCCCCAGCACAGAAAAAGAGCTTCCTCCATTGGAATGGATTGTGGAATGGAGGGATGTGCACTTAAGGAAGGGATGTTATTTTTATAATTTGGATTTTGGAAATGGTTTCCATACTGGTATTCTGGATTGTGCAGATCCCTAATACCATTTTGGGGGGATTCTAAAATGTTGGGGTTCCATTATTGCCTATGGGAGGATACTTTCTGGGGAGCTATTGTATTGCAAGAAAATGACACTGAAACTGCAAAAGAGCTATT